AACAGTGAGAGGCCCGCATACTGCAAAAAAAAAAAAAAAAAAAAATTTCCCTCTAACTATTTAGATAACTATCTAACAGGACAGGGACTTGTAAATCGATAGGGAGTAAAGAACCTGGTTATCTCGGCTATAAACTAGGTATGTAACCACTGGTAAGCTGGTTAAAATCCCTGAATCCTGTCTCGTATGTTGAATGGTAAGTGACTTTAAGGTCTTTTCCTCTATGATTTGCTTCTGCATTTCTCTGTTTATACACAATACATGTCAGAGTGGTAACTACTGTTTGCAACAGAAAAAAACAAGCAATAAATTCATTAATTTGGATTCTATTTACAGATGTAGAAATCTACTGTTGCCTTTTTTAGTATGACTTTGCAAAGTTTAAAAAGTACAGAAAAACACAAACAATAATACAATAAACACTCATATTTTGACCATATAGAATTAGCTGTCATCATTTTGTCTAGTCCTTTTAGTTGACCCTTGAACAATGAGTTTGAACTGCATGGGTCAACTTATACATAGATTTTTTTCAAGAGTAAATACCACAGTACTACACGATTCACGGTTGGCTGAATGCTCGGATGTGGAACTACAGATGTGGAACCCCTTATATGGAGGGCCAACTATGTTATATGTTATATTTTCTATTGCATGGAGGGTCAGCAGCTCTAACCCCTGCATTGTTCAAGGGCCAACTGTAATTTAAAACATATATACTGTATATATGATCTTCCTTAAAAAAAAAAAAAGCATTACAGATAAAACTAAACTCTCAAGAGGTTTGGTGAGGCATCCTTTATACTTTTTACATACATATTTATCTACAAACAATATATTGTATTTTTTTAAAAAGTACTATAGTTATTATCCTACAACTTTTTTCATTCAATATGTTTTTGAGACCCATCTGTGTTATATACAAATCTAGTTATTTCCTTTTAACTTTTCCACAGCATTTAGATTACAATTAAGTTGCTTGGTATACAATTAAGTTGCTTCTAGTTTTCAATACACCAAAAATGCTACAACATCCTTATTCTTATGCACATGTGTAAGCATCTCTAGGGTAGTAGCTTTCAAATATTTTTGACTATGACTCACAGTAAGAAATATATTTTCTTCACAATCCTACAGAGGCATGCATATTTATATGTGTATGCATACAAGCAGAAATAACAGTGGCATGAAGTACCTTATCATGTGTGATGCACGTGGGTACCTTCTATATGATTTAATTTTTAAAATGCTAGTTACAAGTGATTTTACATCCTACTAAACCTGTAGCTTGAAAAACAATGCTCTAGATAGACTTAAAAGTACTATTGCTAGAAAGCAGTTATGCATGTCTTCAACTGCTGTGTAATTGTGTAAGAACCCTCCTCCCTCCCCACAAATGACCATCTGGGTTGGTACAGAATTCTAGTTTTACCTTTATTTTCCGTCAGCATTTTAAGCTAATATGCCTCCTTTTTGTCTTCTTTCTGATGAAAAGTGTGTTGTCAATCTATTCTTCCTCTTTTCTATCTGATAGTGTGAGATTTACTCTTTGCCCTAGATACTTTTTAAGTTGCATCATGATATATTTAGATATAGTTATCTTATTTTCCATTTCTAGTATACAGTGGGCTTTTTCACTCTGAAGACTCCTGTCTTTCTTCAATTCTGGAAAATTCTCAGCTATTATCTCTGAACAATGCTCTTTTCTTCTCAGATGTATGTTAGAATTTTTCATTTATCCTCCATATTTTTTAACCTGTAAATTTATTTTCCCCATATCTTTATCTCTTTGCATTCTGAGGGAATCTCTTTAGTTTTGCCTTGCAATTCACTAATTCTTTCTCCAGCTCTACCAATGCTTACCATTTAGTCCATCTATTTAGTTTTTATTTCAATGACCATATATTTTATTTCCCATATTTCCAAATGGTTCTTTTACATATACAGTATACTTAAAAAATAATCTCCTTTTCTTGTTTCATGGATGCTAATATTTTATCTCTTTGGACATTTTAAACATACCTATTTTAAAGTCTCTTTCAGTCAGATTCTACATTTACCTCTGATTCTTCAGGTGTGAATGCTGCCAGTTGTTGGGACTTATGCTGCCTTCATGGTCCTAAATGTCTTCGTGTGTTCTGACTGTTTGAAATCATACTTTTCGTGGAATTTACTCCTGGGTGCTCCTCTACACTGGCTGCTTTCCTCATTGCTCTGGCTCTGACCTATGGGTTTCACAGCTCTAAACCCAGTTGTTATTAACACAATTCCAGGCCCTGTGAGTTATTAGCCTGCTTCCCAGCATTGTGCAGGTCCCTGTTTCTGTCCCCCAAAAGAGCTCAGCGCCCACTCTCTGCCATGCATGGGACATGTTTAATTCCCATCCTGTCAGGATTAGAATCCCTGGCCCCAGTGCTCATGTCCAATTCCAGATCCCAGTGGGCTTCAGCTTTTGCTTATTTTGTGACTTCTCTTGTAATTTCTGACCAATAGATGAAAATATATATGCTGGTGGTGCATGTTACATGGGGGTTACTTTCTACAGTCTAAGGCAAAAATCACAAACAGTCAAAATTATTCTTTAAAAAACCCCACTAAACTGACCATAAAGTATAGTAAACACTGTCCAACAGTTAGTTTTTTTCCTCCATCACTGAAAGAGATTGGGTTTGGCCAGATGTAGATGGGTTACGTTTAGAGGCAATGCTGAAAAAACAACAACTTATATTTAAACAGAATAAAACTTGGCACAGTGAGAGGTTTCCTCTATGACAGATCTAAAGGAACTGAGCCAAACTGAGGTAACAGCAGATTGATATCTCACACTCCTTCTGAGAGGATGGTGAGAACTATGTATATAATTTAAATTATTTCTCTTTATCTCTCTCATGCTTTTTCTTTTTCCTAGTAAAGGCAGCTAAATTTGCATTAAATTAAATGTACATATAATGCAAGTCCGCTCTACATATGCAAACCTACAAATACCAATAAATTACACACCCTGAAAAAAAAATGTTTTCACAGTCTTAATATATTAGAACATGTTTTCATTTTTTTTTATGGAATGTCAATTTTATGATCAGGAGAGGCACCATTAACTTTCTAAAAAAAGTAGCAAGGAAATGATTTGCAAAAGTAAAATACAACATATAACATAATGGTTAAGAGCACGGGTTCAAATTCTGGTTCTTAAATTTGTTGACCTTACACTTGGCTTCTCAACTTCCTCATTTGTAACATGGAAATAATATTACCTACCCCATGGGGTTTTGTCAGAACTAAACAAGAAAATATATGTAAAGCACTTGTCACAGTGTTTGGCACAGTTCCATGGCATTAGCTGTAATTGCTGCTATTAGGAGTATGGTACTAGATTAAAGGGAATACTTATCCTTGGAAGAAATAATTCCCAAATTACTGAAATAACTGGCAAAGAGTTTTCTTTCCTATTGCTAATGAGATGCATCTTTCTATTTTAGATTCTCGATGAACTGGTTTTAGATAGACAGACAAACTGATACACAGCAGGACTTCTTGACAAGTACCCCTACATTCAGAAGATTTTTTTGAAATGCCATGTTTTTCTACTCACATGTCTATGCAGCCCTCAGAACAGTCACAAGAATCAGTAAACATGTTGGAAAAGCTGTTTAAATAATATGCTCGTGGCCACATAGTCTTTCTGTACTTAAACTGTGGAAGCTTTCTATTGTCAATTTCATTACAGAAAGAAATGGGCACTGATTCCACTCCATTGCTAATATCCGTATCAGAAACAATTTCTTCTTGCCTTGGGTAATTCCGAGTCAACTGAACATAGGTATTGAAAGAAAAGTTATCTGTAAATAGAAAGTTACACTCTGTCTCAAGCAGGTAACGAAAAACTTCCTCCATGTTTCGCAGACTCCTTCCACAAGGGGTTTTATAACTCACGTGGAGTGCTGAAGAATGAGAGTTTGTCTTTGCATGTCGTCTTTGGAAGTGGCATTTGATTGGTAGCTGCAGAGGGTTTTCTCCCTTGAAGGTAAGTGGCATTTTCATCAGACAGGCACTAGAGCAGTCATGCTTTTGGTAAGATAAATTTGAAGATGATTCTTTTTCTCTAAAGTCTGCAACTTTATTTTCCAGAGGGGGAATTTCCTTATTTTCTGTAGATCTGTTTAAAATTAATTATTTATTAGTATCTCAAATGTATAGCACAATCCCCATTTTTTAAAAAACACTGCACACTAAGGTGGTATTTAACTCCTATTAGCTTCTTCTTAGACAACACTAAAATAAGCCAGACTCTGAAATCAACATCTTACTATGTTCTGCAGCCACATAAAGTTACACCTGAAGGGTTGTTTTTTTTCTGGACATCAAATATGTGGTGTTTTTTCCAGCACCACTTCTTCAACTGGGTGTCCAATAATTCAGTTCAATTCTGACACTATCGACCTAGAGTCAGCAACAGATTCCACAAGTTAAAGGGCTCAGTCCCATAAGACTGCCCCCATGCCAGATGCCAAATGCAGTTTCCAGGTCACCCACACTCTTGACAACCCCTTTCTCTCGGATAATGTGCTGGAAAGATTCAGAACTCAGGAAAGCATTTTAATTACTATTACCAGTTTATAATAAAAGATACACTCAGGAACAGCCAAATGGAAGAGATGCATGGGGCAAGGTAGGTAAGAAGGGGCATGGAGTTTCCATGCCCTCTCCAAATGCACCACCCTTCCAGCACCTCAAACTGTCCATCAACCAGGAAGCTCCAGGAGCCCTGTTGTTTAAAGTTTTTTATGGAGGGTTAACTGCTTAAGCATGAATGATTAAATCATTGGCCACTGGTGATTATCTCCACCTGCAGCCCTTCTCCCTGCCCTGGAGGTTGGGAGGTAGGGCTGAAAGTTTTAGGCTTCTAACCAAGGTTGTCTTTCTGGCGTCCAAACCCCATCCTTAAGTTAACTAGGAGCGCCTCACCAAGTCATCTCATTTGCATGCCAAAGACATTCCTACCACTCAGGAGATTCCAAAGGTTTTAGAAGCTGTGTGCTGGGGACCCAGACAAAGCAAATATCTTTATTATATCACAGTCTAATTTCAGAGTATTCCAGAAAGCTGTGATTACAGTGGTAACTTTTTGCTACATCTACACCAATAGCACCTAGCAAATTTAGAGTTCATGTAGGACATGAGTTCAATAAAGACCTGAGGAAGGTTATGTCTTCAGACAAACTTGGTTCAAGCAAAAAACAGTAAAGGCTAGGTAAAAAAATAATTAAGAATCCTTTATGCTGTTTTTTCTTTTTACCTTCAACAACTGTACCAAGTGAACTTTCCCCATAATATGTAACCCACCTGGTCTCATACACATCTGAAAATGGTAAACTACAGGAGAAAATGGAGAGGTTATTGACTTTAAGAAAAAAACTCTGTGAAGATTCCATGTGTTCCAAACTCAGGTTTTAAACTTTCACACACACAAAAAAACCTGTTTTGTGTTACCTAATATTTTCAATCTATCTCTAGGTATCTGTTATTTATTATAAAAGTAATATAGGTATTTTAGAAAAATTTTTATACTCACTATATAAAGCAGCACTGTCCAACAGAACTTTCTGCATTGATGGAAATGTTCTATATCTGTGCTGTCCAGTGGCATAGCCACTAGCCACATGCGGCTACTGAACACCTTTAAATGTGGCTACTGTGACCAAAGAACTGAATTTTAAATTTCATTTTAAGTAATTCAAATTTAACTAACCACATGTAGCTAGTTGGTACCATACTGAATGCACAGATATGAGGTGCCCCATCCTTTTTTCAGCTGTATAGTAATCCTCTACATAAATCCCACAATTTATATAACTAGTCTTCTATTGTTTTCAATCTTTTGCTATTACAAATCATGATGTAATAAAAAACCTCATATATAATAATTTCATACATGTGAAGATATCCCAGAAACCGGAATGCTAGGTCACAGGGTAAATGGATTAGTAATTTTGTTAAGATTGCCTAATTGCTCTCCATGGGGTCGGCCTCTCCAGCAATTTATGTGAGCGCCTGCTTTCACAGAGGCTCTTGATGCTTCCGGATTTCTGATAATCTAGTAGGTGAAAGGATGTCCTATAATTTATAAATCTTTTAATGTTGGAAATATTTGTTTCCTATTTTTCTGTGTTACTACTTTGATGAATATCCTCATACATAAGTCCTTGACCAAATTTCTTTCTTTCTTTTTTTTTTTTGCAGTAAGCGGGCCTCTCACTGTTGTGGCCTCTCCTGCTGCGGAGCCTGTGCTCCGGACGTGCAGGCTCAGCGGCCATGGCTCACGGGCCCAGCCTCTCTGCGGCATGTGGGATCTTCCCGGCCCGGGGCATGAACCCGTGTCCCCTGCATCGGCAGGCGGACTCTCAACCACTGTGCCACAAGGGAAGCCCTGCAAATTTCTGATTACTACCTTAAGATACATTCCTTTAAGAGGAATTACTTGGTCAAGGGGAATATACATTAAGAATAACTTCTTATTAAAAAACTTTCAAACATACACTTAAGAGTATTCTTTTCTCATAAAGACTGATATACTGGAACCTCATGTACTTGTAAGAACTCCAGAACTCCCAGCACATAATGACTCTGTCCAACCGTCTGCGCTGCGTGATAACCAAACTCTAGCAAGGCTTCTAGCAGCATAAGGACATGCATGTCCCTAGGATAAGCCCAGCCTCTCAAAAAAATGCCTCCTTGAGAAAGCTCAAGGCTGTTTCTTCTAGCCAACACCTAAAGACAAGCCCCTGACCTTTCTTAGAACATTTACTAAGAAGGTCTTAAAATTATGAATCTTTTCTGGGTCTCTCTGAGATGTATATGTTTCTATAACTCAGGAATATTTTTCTCAAAAACCTGAAAGCCATTCTTTTGAAAGGTAATCATCAGGAAGGACAGGGTCTCTGTCCTCCAGTCTCTGTGGGAGGACAGAATCCTAACTTGATGACTGCCAGCCAGAACACACAGCTGGCCTCATGGGCATTCACAGTGATTAACCTTCACTAAGTTTTCACTTGAGCCCCAGCTTGTACTCCCTTCCTTACTCCCGCATTGCCCTTTAAAACGCCAGTCACCTCAGCACAAATCGCGATGGAGCTCAGCTCGTATTCCTACTGTCAGTAGTTAGTGAATAAAACCTGTTTTCACCACTACAGCTAATGTCTGGCTTTATGTTTGACACTTATTACCAGGTTTTAATAATTATCAATATTTTGCCTATTTTATTTAATCTATTCTCCACCCCTCTTGCCCCACCCTGAAACACTGGAGTATTTTAAAGCAAACACTTATCTGAAATAATTCAGTATGTATTTCTAACAAATAAGTCTTTTTAAAAATACATAATCTCAATGGCTCATCTTCACATTTCCCCGATTGTCTTAAAATCTGTTTGAATCAGAATCAAACAACCCCTACACTCTGTATTTGATTCAGGTGTCTTTTATGTCTCTAACCTTATGTAGTGCTCCCTCCCTCTTCATTAATGACATTTATTGGTTAAAGTTAAATAAATTGTGTCACTTGTCCTATAGTAGTTCCCACATTCTGGAATCTGGCTGATGCCTTCCATGTGGTGTTGTCATTTAACTCACCCCTTCCATTCCTGGCAAAGCAGCAGTCAGTTCTAGAAGCCTGATTTGATTCAGGTTCAATTTTGGTGGGGGGTCAGGGGAGATAATTCACATGTGGTGCTATGAATTTCCTATTGCATCACATAAGGAGACAAACAATGTCTGATTGTTCACATTTAGCGATGCTTAGATTTATAAGTGGGTTTGGGTGTTTCCATCCATTTTAAAGCTCCTCACTTTCAGTTAACAGTTTTGGCATTCACTCATGATCGTTGTCTAGACCAGTGCTACGTTCAGGTGTGGTGGTGCCAGTTCCCAGTGGTTTTTTAACAATTCATGGTAAGTACAAAAATTCAAAGTGCAAAAGTTTAGAAACTTTTACAGCAATTTAACATTGCTGCAACATTTTATGCATTTTACAAGAGCATCACTCCTCAATAAGTTAGAAGTTTAAAACAAAACACCTGTTCTGACCACAATTCATTTGAGACCACTGGGCTAAGGCCACTGTTTCTTTGGGGTGTGGTGGGGTGGGGGTAGTAGTTGTAAAAATAACAATCTTCTAATTCTATCATTCCTACTGCATTTTCCGGCTAGAGTGCTTTCATAAAGAAATTCATCAATTCTTGGGTTATCCTAAAATACAGTTAGTATAAGCAGGCGGATAAATGCTTGATTCTTTTCTTTAATTACTAATATTCAGAATGATGAGTTGTATCTTAGCAACTACCAAAGTGACAGATTTTTTTTTGCTTTACAATGGTGTGTTAGTTTCTGCTGTATAACAAAGTGAATCAGCTATACATATACATATATCCCCATATATGTATATATATATGTATATATGTATATATCCCCATATATCCCCATATATATCCCCTCCCTCTTGCGTCTCCCTCCCAACCTCCCTATCCCACCCCTCTAGGTGGTCACAAAGCAGCAGCTGATCTCCCTGTGCTATGCAGCTGCTTCCCACTAGCTATCTATTTTACATTTTGTAGTGTATGTATGTCCATGCCGCTCTCTCACTTCGTCCCAGCTTACCCTTCTCCCTCCCCCTGTCTTCAGGTCCATTCTCTATGGCTGTGTCTTTATTCCTGTCCTGCCCCTAGGTTCATCAGAATCTTTTTTTTTTTAATTCCATATATATGTGTTGGCATACAGTTTTTTTTTTTTTTTTTTTTGATAGCTTTTTTGCTTTCTGTCACAAGATATCTCAGGTCTGGAATCAGCCATTTCTCTAAGGGACTACGGTTCCATTTAATGAGAAATGGCATTTACAGACTACGATCATGGTACTAGGAGGTACACATATTTTAATCAATAAAAGATGCCAAACTGCTTTCCAAAAAGGCTGGACCAATTTATACTCTCATAGCACGGATGAATGCTCATCTACCTGAATATTATTTTAAAATTTTTCATCAATTGGATAGGTGAAAAATATTTTATTACCTTAATTTTTTTCTCTAAATAATAAGGAGTTTGAACATAATTTCATGTTTATTGATTTTTTTTTTTTTCCTTTTGGCTAACTGTCTATTCATAT